ACGTAGGTCGAATCGTGAGATTGACATCATTTGTGTACACAAAATGAGCAATCTTTATTAGGATCTCACGCTGTCAAAAATGATTTAATACGAGAGATATTCTGGAATACAACAGTTTAATACATTAACTTTCCAAGTGTGATCACAATGGTAGAGTATCTTGATAAATGTATATACCGTCGTCACGTCAAATATGCCACTACTCGACTAAGCCGAGAAGTGGTACTTTTTAAATTGCGATTTCTCCGTTCTGGGACAAAACTAGATATCAGGAGTTACACACACTCAACAACCGTGCATGAGAGCACTATATTCCGTAAAAATGTCCATGGCTTTTATCGCAGGAAAAAAATAAAGCGAAGTAGAAATGTGGGATTTTCACATACCTGTACAGCGCTGCTTTCGGTAATTGGCATTCGTAATTATCCACAATGAATCACAAAATAATCGCAAATGAAAAGCTCGGTGCACTTAATAATACTGTAGAATGTCTGTAAATCAGGTTTCATTGTCCGAAGGTCCAATGATTCCAAGGATTTCTTTCCGGGTGCGAGTCTGTAGGGATTTATGTCATTCATTCTGAGTGACGATTCAGCGGCACCGAGTATTTGTATAGTGTTGCCTTCTGTGGATAGCAAACAAACAATAAACTCATTTGAAAACCATCAATGAACAGCTTTGAGAATTATTTAGTCCAGATAACGAGCGCGCAGTCTACACGGTGTTTCAAGTGGAACCATTTTACAAATGCTCCAGACACACTTGTTTTGTTTTCTTTGGTTTTCCAGTGGGATTTGCAGGGAATCTCCATGGTGCTAAGTTTCGATGAGCTAACTGCAGATATGGGTATGTAGCAATTTGAATAACACGAGAATTTTCCATAAAGGCTTTTAAATCTGATAAGCGAGCGTGATTGCATAAGGTGGAAATAATTTAATAAGTGTTAGTTTAGATACTGAGCTTGGTACTGGAAGCAGATGATCTATGAATATTCCCACCCATTGTCCTACTTTTCCCTTTTTTTCCGAAAATTGTGAATAACGGCAGTGACTGCGACAGACAAGCATTTAAATATTTCACAGTTGCAGTCCTTGACAAGCTTTTAGCGATTATTAGTTTGACTAAGCATGAACTTGGTCACATATTAAGATTTATTACATCGCTGGCAGCACCTGTGGTCAATATGAAGCGAATCCTGTGTTCTTATTCTTGGGTTTCAGGTGACGTCACAAGCTTTGCTGAAGTTAGTGTCCGCCATGTTGGTGTCCCTCGGATGTCAAATTTATGAATAATTAGTCTATATCTATAGTGAAGCCCTCTCTCTTATCGCCGTATTATTTCGCCTACTACATGAATATCCAGAGAGTTGAAAGGAAAGATGTTTGCAAAAGATCTCGGTCATCGGAGTTGACCCTGCAAGCATACCAGCCGAGAAGTTCAGTCCAAAATGCTTGCCTCCTGTGGAAGTGTCGGACTTGCTGAGTTACCTCGTTCTTGAGACCAGCTTCTGCAGTTGGAGCGAGCGCATTTGATCCAGTTAACTGTGAATGAAAAGCTCAAAATTGACGGCAAAAATGGAGGAAATCTAAGCTAAATGAAGTCTTGTGTTACTCTAAAATGTTTTAGTACTCAACGATCGGACGATTTTGCGAAACGTGCAACTTGCGGCCCTGTTTTTGCTGCTTCAGTTGGATCAAGACCCAAAAGGTCAAAATACACGTGGCATTACCAGGAGTGATCATGAGTCGAGTTTATCTCTTGAATTTTCGAGGGGTCTAAGTTTTCGGGGTCTTAGGTCTGAGTTCTAAGTTTTCGGGGTGTGAGTTTTCGTGACACCCCAAGCTCGCTTGCACTCAGGTAAAGTGCTCATGGATTTTGCCGACATATGTCAATGAAGTGCCGTATGCGAGGGCTAAAGACATCAATTTTTCATCGGCCAAGAAGCTCAAAGAAAAGCTCGACCAAAAAATCGAGGATCTACAACAGCCGCAAGCCTCGAACCATACAACAACTTTTAGTTCCTCCTGTTCTTCCCCTTGATTTGTAATGATCTTAGTATAGCGCATTAGATCATATATCTAATGAATTTTGCGCTAGAGAAATATTAAATATATTAAATCATTATGCGAAAAAATCCTTAGTCCTTATGCTTTCCACTTTTGTTCGAACAGCCAACAACAATGCATAAAACCATCCCTTCTTTCTCACATGAACTCTTCGTTAGATACGGTTTGTTTACGCTCGAGGGACACCAAGATGGCGGATAGTAACCGTTGCTAAGCTATTGGTCACGCGGGTGAAACCCAAGAATTGGCTACCCTAACGGGCAAGATGGGCCCGTCTTGTCAGCTAGGGATGCCTGCATTGATACGAGCATGAAAAAAATTGAATTAGTACTAAGTTCGTAATTCTTGGACAATGTCGGCAATGGAGACGCAAAAAGCGGGACAGATGGTAGTCAAAACAAAGAAAACAGAAACGACTCTCGTGGGTTTATTGTGCTACAAACATAGTTGGTTTTCTTTCCCGGCTCTCGAAGTAAACAAGTCATTCTAAACTCTTAATAAAGGGAGATCTTTTGCTAGATACAAAATCCTTAATTTATTGACCAAGCTTGTCACCCGCGGTCAGGATGGCTGGATATTAGCCTCGTTCTATTTTTGCATTTTTATGGCCGGGACGAAGTCGAGGTTCATAAAAATGCAGAAAAAGAACGCTTTGTTTGGGAAATGTTGCTTACTTCTTAATGGCATATGACGAGCAAAGTCAGGATAAACCTTGCAAAGACCAGTTTTAAGTAATTGATTAATCACTTTTTGATCGGTTATTTCAGTTTTTTCCGCATCTCACCAAACCAATACGTATTTCGCCAAACACTTGTCGTGTGATAATGAAATGTCATGAGGTAAGCTATCGCCTCGCGTGACTCTTACGCTTCTTTCGTGCTAAGGAACCTCCTGCTTGTATCCATAACTCAATAGTATACGCTGGGGTGTTTACTATTTGTTAAATAGAGCCATTTCTAAATTTGTAATTTTTCGTCTTTCGAACTTTGTAATGTGATGCACGTAACATGAAACAGATTTAATCTCAGAAACATTTGAATAGATGTTTACAAAGTAAATCGAAAGTTACCTCGGGGAGCCACGAGAGTAAACAGTTTACTTTCTGCCTGTTATGGTGGCAGTTAAGAATCCATTCTTCATCTGTTTTTTTTACTAGTGAGAAAATCGTGCATTATTTCCTTCTTTGAACCCCACCTTGGGCAATTTAATGACAGTTGCCATACTACGACGACGATTTCAAACTTTAATCCTATGATCAACAAAGGTAAAAATCGTTCGACTGTGGAGCTTGGTTATGAGTGCTTTCTGTTTTTACAGCCTTGGTTTCCTTAAATTACAATTACATTGTGATGGAAAACGAAACTAACGGTTTGGCAGACTCATTCGTAGTCAAACATACTGCAGACCCTGGTTTACGCTTGGAACTGCTTCCTCGTAATCTAAATGGCTCACGCCATGAACAAGTCTCAGAGATGGGGGCTGAGGTAAGAAAGATTGAATCCAGCATTGCCTTCGGGACTACATGGCCCATCGGCCGGGCTAAGATCGCAGCTTTCACTGACTGACATAGAAAATTAAAAAAGATAAACAATGAGGCCAAATGATCCGGCTTATTCAATAGCACAAGCCAGGTCAAAAATATTGCAAAAAGTACTTTGCAAAATAAACTCAAAAAATCGTTGTTGTTTTCGTTGCTGTTACTGCCTCCAAGAGGTGTTTTGTTATATCTTTTTTAGCAAAAATACTGCCAATTTTTTTTATTAAAAAAAAACTCTTAGTTTTATGAAGCATTCAAACAGCTTCAAGCGATTTCATTTAAAACTGTGGCATAAAAGGAGCATTCCAAGCGATTAAAATGGGTCAACATCGCCCGCTCGAGGAACTAACCATATAGCAAACATTTTTGAAAATTATCTTATTTTGTTTCATTTCTCCAGATCACGAGGTCAAACAGCACTGCTACCGACTCTCCTGCGGTGAGTTCTCCTGCCGTAGTCTTCCCCACGAATTTTCCAGATACAAATCTGTTTGCAAAGTATCCACTGAACATGAGACCCTGGAATGTTGAGTCTCTAGATTCGACCAACAACAGCACTCTTGCATTGGTGCAAGGAATTGCCAGAGCAATGGTCCAGATGAATAGGAGAATGCGGGAAAGAGAACAACGGGAACAACGTCGAAGGAAGATTAATATGATTCTTGTCATTTTTCATTCAGCCGCCGCTGCCCCATTTGCCGTCGTATGCTGTTTGGTATGATGTAATGCGCCAAATAGACAGATTGGATATTGTTTTGAAATCACAATCGGTTATCAGAAGACTTAAGTGCTTTGGTAATTAAAGTCATCGAAAGCTATTTTTAATAACATAAAGAAAACATAGTAGTTATAAAACGGTTTCGAATATTACACCAACGAATATGCCCCAACTCAATTCTATTTTTGTGGAATGGACATGCAATGGGATATTCAGCAGCGTAGCACGATATGGAAGAACAGTGGCTAAAATAATCAATACGACAAACCTGCAGACTTCATATTGAATGACTTGGAGCTCAGATTCTTTATCGTACACGATCCTGGAAACGCAGTCAAAGCTCTTCTAAAGTGTTTTATTGTTGAAAAGATTTCTACTGTGATTGATAGTATCCAGTGTCCAAAGAAAAATATTTTAATCTGGTGTACTTAATTGATCTTAATTTTTTTATGTGATTGGATTAGGCACTATCTTAGAAATACAACTTGTCTTACTTTCCAAATGTGACTTGGTGCACAGTTGTAATATTTGGTAATATTTGTGTTTACCTTTGTCATTGTGCTCATCTTGGGCACGGATGGCAGTCAAAGCGTTTTTGTGCGAAATAACAAATTGCTGTGTTTATATTAAAATCCCAATAGAAAAGTTTGTGTTAGGCAAAGAAATCTCTAAAAATATCTTTTAAGACCCTTTATTGCAAACACTAAGGATGCATCAATTACGCAAAAAAAACAAAATGATATACTGAAACATTATTTACAGTGTACAATAAAGACATATCACAGCTATACTTAAATTTGTACTGACTTAAAAATTTTTCCTTATGGGAAAATCACATGCCAATTTTTCAGCATTACAGTGAAACTTTAGATAGCGTTGTGTGCCAGTAAAATCGGAATTACTTCTCTCCATTTTACATTTATATATGGAAAAACTTCACAACTAAAATAATTCAGTTTATTACATTTTACAAGGCATACATTTTGTGTAGGCCAGGAGAACAGATTCAATGGAGAACTAGACGTCAACTTTTGTTACCTCCAAAGATCCGGTCACAACATCAAAAGAGGTGCTCTATGGTTTCATGTTTACTATCACAGAAAAAGCACTCATCGCGATCCCTAAAACCCATCTCTATAAACCGGCAATACATTTGTACCAATATTTCTATGAAATTTCGTAACTTGAAAGCTTCTTAACTTGCTGGCACTTGTGCATAAGAAAGGGACTCTGTATTGAATTAAAATGAGTTCTTGTTAATGTACTTCAGATAAAAAACAAAGGAAATTACATGGCCGCGCGGAGATACGACTTTTATCTTCGAGTGCGGTAAGATACTTTCAACACGAGAAGATAAGATTCGTATCCCCAAGCGGTCATGTAATGTTCTGTTTATTTTATAGATACTAATGACATTTCCACATAAAACACAACTTTTCCACATCACTTTCCGAGACTTCGGCAAATCTTCCTGGATGTTCTTCAAGCTCGGAAAACATATCGATGTGAAAATTTGGCAGCTCATCGAGAAAGTCACCAGTAACTGTACCGTCTCCGCACGTCGAAGCCATTTTGTGAATGAAATTTCAAAAGAACCAGCCATGCGTCTGAGCGGGAACCTCTCTTGTACTTCTTAAACCTCTGATCGTGTTAGTAACCATGGCGACACCAATAACCTCACGTGTGAAAGATAAAAATAGTATCTTCACTGCGCGCGTTGAAGATCTGATGTTTTAGTCAAAGAAAAAACTGAATTCTGGTATTTCACGAGTATGATCTATATCATAATGTTGGATACACGAGCCCGTAACATGCTAACATCGTAAAGAAATAGAAAACTACTTGATTTGTATTTTTTAAGTATGATTTTGAAACATAACCGACAAGTTAGTAGCTTTGGCGAGAAACAGTCCCCCTTGGCTGAACCTAATCATCATGGAATACATGCAATATTTTATAAATAATCGATGATATTAGTTCCAATTGTGGTTTTTTTTTTCTAGAGACGGTGTCGTTCCAAATGAGTGTCTCATATTCATTACCAAATAATAATAATTGAAATTAATATAGCGCAAACTCCATTTACATGATCAAATGCGCTTTACATGAAAATAAAGAATATGTAGGAAAAAATATATGTATATATGTAAAATTACAATTTTCCTAATGAGACAAGAAATTAAAAAGCACTAACCAAATGAGATAGAATATTAAAAAGCACTAAGCTAATGAGATAGAATGTTAAAAAGCACTAACCAAATGAGATAGAATATTAAAAAGCACTAAGCTAATGAGATAGAATATTAAAAAGCACTAAGCTAATGAGATGGAAGATTAAAAGCCCGGGTGAAAAGGTAGGTTATAAGATTACGTTTAAAACTAGAGAAGGAGTGAAGGCCAGTGATGTTACTTGGTAAGTCATTCCAGAGACGTGGTGCAGCATAGGAGAATGCCCTCGCTCCCAATGTGGGTAACATCTTACCACTTGGGACCTTGAGCAGAAGTTTTTGATTCGACCTTAGCTCATATTACACTTAGCCAATGAGATGGAAGATTAAAAGCCCGGGTGAAAAGGTAGGTTATTAGATTACGTTTAAAACTAGAGAAGGAGTGAAGGCCAGTGATGTTACTTGGTAAGTCATTCCAGAGACGTGGTGCAGCATAGGAGAATGCCCTCGCTCCCAATGTGGGTAACATCTTACCACTTAGGACGTTGAGCAGAAGTTTTTGATTCGACCTTAGCTCATATTTAGTGGGAATTTTAAAGCTAATAAGCTTAAAAATATAGCCGGATGCCATACCGTATATTGCCTTAAAACACAATAAAAGAATCTTAAATTCTACACGGTGCCTCATTGGTAACCAGTGAAGCTGGCAATATGGCTAAACTTAGGTTGTTTAAAGATTAGCCTAGCGGCTGCATTTTGAACCCTTTGTAGTTTGTAAATTTGTACTTGTGGTGTACCATAAAGCAAGCTGCTACAGTAGTCCAATCTGCTGGTAATAAAAGCATGGATCAAAGTCTCTGTAGAGTTTGGCGATAAGTACTTCCTAATGCGTCAGACAGTATGAATATAATAAAATGATACATTACAGACTTTGTTTATATGAGCATTCATAGATAGTTTGTCGTGAAGAAAAGTACCAAGGTTTTTGACAACAGATGATCTTTCAATCTGGGAACTTCCAACAGTAATCGAAGAGATGTTAATTTTTGACAGTTGTTGCAGGGTCCCCAGAATAAGAAACTCAGTTTTTTCATCGTTGAGAAGAAGTTTATCGTGCTCCATCCATAAGCGGATATCATCTAAGCAATTTTGACCGAAACTATCAGATAAGGTACCACAGATGGAAATGCGTTGTCAACGTGCCGTCAGATAAGAAGAGAACCATTCAAGTGGTGTACCAGAAATTCCAAACGAAAATTGAAGCCTACGTACAAGTACATTGTAATCAACCGTGTCGAAAGCGGCTCTTAATCGTTCCTCTTCATATAAAATTATCAACTGGTAGAAACACAGCTCGTTCGATTACTTTGGAGATGAACGAAAGATTACTCACAGGCCAGTAATTCTTATAAACAAGATCTATTTTGGCTTTTTTCAGAATTGGCAGAACAAGAGCTTCTTTCCATACTGGAGGAAAATAACCGCTTTGAAGTGAAAGATTGATTATTTTGGTTATAAATGGTAAAAGAACATCGATAGATTTAACAAGTAAAGGTGTCGGAATTGGATCGAGAGCGCGTGATTTCTTGGCCATTCCCATGATGACGTTGTAAACCTCGCTTTGTGTGAGAGGTTCAAAACAATTAAATGGCAACGAACATAAATGTGAGTTCTCTGATAGCTGACAGTTCTCACGTTCTTGAATGGTACATTCCTTGAATTTAGATCTAATATTGCTAATCTTTTAAACAAAGAAGTTTCCCATCTCATTTGGCAACATAGATCTGTTTTTATGAGGAGGGAAGGGCACGTCAGACTGATGATTTAACAGCTGTTTTTGATGCCTCGAATAACTTTCCACTATTTTCTTGCATAAAGCCTTGATAAAAATCGAAGCGCGCCTTTCTCATTAAGTCAGTAGCGAATTTACGTGCAGATTTATATCGTATCAAGTCATCCAAAGATTTCGTGCGGCGCATACATACACACATCCTTTATTTGGTAAAGCAGGTTGAGGAAATGGCAGCTAATGCTGATGTGAATTTCATTATACCAAGGTACCCGCGGTCTTGTGCCAATTATCTTTCTTTGAAACGGTGCATGTTTATCTAGAATAGCCCCCAACATCGCCAGAAATCCAGGACATTTTGCTCCCGCATTCATTGGTCAGCGGATTGCAGTCGGATGAAAACAAAGATGGCGGTCAAGACAAATTCAACATAAAATATTGAACGATTTAAGTTCTGTGGACCTTCTTTATTGAGAAAAAAGCAAAAGAAAATCAACTTTGAACTGATCTCTTGGTATATTTAAGGCAGAGCGACTTATAGCAATTTGCTGTCTGATGTAATGCAAGGGGCAGTCTGTACTCTGTACTAAGCTTCAATGTCCACTCAAACTGGCTTTTTTTGTAATCGTCTAAGATGTCCGAAATTTTGGAAATTGTATCTTAAACCACTTGCATTAAATAATGGGAAGATCTAGGCAAATCGTACTTTTTCTCCCAGTTGAAAACACAGTTCAACGAACGTACTAATACAGATCTCTCTGATCTGCTTCTTAATTTTCGCCCTAGAAAATTTTTATTCAAGGCTCTACTTTAGTATGAGGGAGTCTGGATTGAGTTTATTTCCCGTCAAACATTGCTGAATTAGAAAAACAAATATGGCGACAGTTTGAAAGTTTCGCGGAGGGTTTTTCTTTTACCGCTTTCCCTTCTGGTGCGTCCTCAATGATGGTCTCAGATCACAGACTCCACAGAGCAAAAATAGCAGTTTTCAAGCTCTTTTGGAAGTATCTCATTGTCAAGAAATGTCTCTTTTTATGGACGATTTGCTTACTTCGAAACTCCCTAGGGATGAGGGTTGCTCCTCAAATCGGCGATCCTTTGCCATGGATTACGCTATATTTGAAACAGACTAGAGGTAATGGCTAGCCTCGAATATCGAACATTGCTGACTTTGCTGGAAGTAAGTAGACAATCAGCTTTTGAATTATTTTTATGTTAGAAGTACAGCTTAATCTCTACTGAACATGTTTCGAGTCGGAGCTAAGGAATAATCTTACTCGTATTTGTGGTATTTTGGATTTTTGTTGAAATCCCATACGTTTCCTTACACGATTTGGCCGCCATTAACTTCTCAATACGCACGCGCGTCCGGCATTTTGACCCAAATTTCTGGCAATGTGTGTTGTTGTAGCAATTTACAAGTTCATCCAGCACTCTCGGGGTATTTTGGCAAAGTTCAGAAGCCGTTAAATTTTCGAAAAACGAGTCTAAGTCAATTGAATTAATTTTCCTGTAAACTCTTTTCATTTGATGTAATTTCTGTTTTGACCATTTGGAGAGTTGTTATGACAGAGGAATGATCCGAAAAAAGATGGTCAATAACAGGTGATCCCCAGATAATAGAATTTGATGCACGAGTAATCATTAAGTCAAGTGTGTGACCATGCTCATGTGTTGATTCATCAACGTGTTGGCAAAGGCCCATCGACTCAAAGAGATCCAACAATCTATTTGCATCGGGGTCATGAGAGTTGTCGACGTGAATGTTAAAATCACCAGTTATCACCAAAGGTTCATTCGAAATGATTAAAGTTTCCAAGAGTTCCGTAAAGTCCAATAAAAAAGGAGTTGGTAGTTACCGAATTCCTAGTTGAGTCAGGCGGACGGTAGAGAACAACGAGTCGAAATTTGAGTCCACCAGAGGAAACTATCAGCTCTAAATACTTGATTGAACGAAGTTCCCTTGCTGCAATTGTTTGAACATTTAAATGCTCTTTGAAGAGAACTGCTGTTCCTCCGCCTCGACGATTTTGACGTGAATGACGTGAATGATCAACAATGATTAAGGTTATGTGGTCTTGTTCTTCAGGTGAGAGTAATCCTGGGAAGGATTGTTGGCGATAGTAGAAACTGACGTTTCGACAAACGGAACTCATCATCAGAGCCGACCTACGCTATGACTGTCAATCAACCACGTCGGTTATTCAGATCAAGTAAAAAATATTTGGTGGATCCATTCAAGTCATATTAAGAAAAACGACCGACTAAATTTTGCTGATTCAAGAAGTGTTTCTGAACAAAAGTCGTGTCTGTCACTTCAAGTTATAATTTATGAAATGAAGGACACATACATAAGCGTGGGGAAATCTTTAACCGGACCTTCTTTAATAAAGAACAAGATCGACATTGAAAAATTATTTTCCAAATCTCTGGGTTGATAGTAAAAAATGTCCATGTTTGACAACTGTCGATGACATTTTGAAGTTTGAGTATTGAGATCATAAATCACCGGCACATGTTTCGCCTAAACCTACTACTTTCTATTCGTATTTGAAATGTCAAACGTTAATCAATATAAAAAGGGCTGATCAGTCGAATTAAATAAAGGTTAAATAGTAAATGGATTAGAACCCTGAGTAAAATGTGATGATGTAGGCTGATCGTCCGGGTCAGAAAAGTCCCGAGTAGGTATTACTGATATTTTGACAGTCATAGCGTAAGTCGACTCTGATGATGAGTTCCGTTTGTCGAAACGTCAGTTTCTACTATCGCCAACAATCCTTCCCAGGATTACTCTTACCTGAATAAGAAAACCACATAACCGTAATCAAGGCATGTTAGAGAATTTTTTAACACTATATGAACACAATATGAACGCTAAACAATTAAAAAAGGAAATTTCGTGAAGACTATTCCTTGAAAAATGTTCACGGTTAAAAACATCTACTCAATTGTGTTCCCTGGGTCCTCTCTAATTTCTTGATGGAAGAAGAGGAGGGCCTGGGATAGAGGTTGTCAATCACTCATTGCCACCTGTCTGACTGTTTAGAGGATGACGGCAGATTGGGCAGCTGCGACTGCAAATCAAAAGGAGAGACTTCGTAATCCAACTTTCGTCGAGTAAAGGTGAAAAAATGTGCAACATCACGGTTAAAAGTAAAAGAAGCTGCAAAGCTCACTATCGACCTGACATTGCTGTGGATTCAGAACTGTTCCAAGGCTGCATGCAAAGAGAAATATTCTCTCGAGTATCTTTGACCAAAACCAAACTGATCACAACAGCCAGTTAAAAGTTAACTCATAAGGAACCTGTGAGATTCGATCTAAACAGATCTGCCCTGAGGAAGGAAACACGCCCAAAACAGCCTCGATGGCATTTCGTTTTGTGCTTGAATGATCGAGAGGTTGGATCGAGCTGCTTGACCAATCGGATGACATAGTGGAGCAAAATCAATGCAAAGCAAAATCAATTTCGACACTTCATTGACAACTTCCGTTGGCACAGTCGGAGTTCGAGAGATAGACAGAATTAGTCAACTGCTACCTTACCTCCACCACAACTCCACATACGAACCTGATTCAGAGCTAAAGCAGACTTTAAGCGTTTTTCGTTATGTTAGTTTATTGATGAAAATAATCATGTCACTTTGAGCATACTTACACGCCATTTTGTATCATTGCAATTGCACACTCTCTGTGAACCTTGTGCGAACATGGCAGGATTTGACAACCGCTGAAGGCGTCCTGGAAATAAAGGTTGAAAGGTGTAAAGTATCTTCAGGTATTATCAATAGTACTTTTAGTACAATTGGTTCTTCCCATGGGTCTAGAAACGCCTTCATATACGCTGAGAACCATGCTAAGAAGAATTAAAGTGTTCTCCTTGTATGTTGCCAGATTTCTTACTCGTATGTATCAGATGTCAATTTCTGTGTCCAAAGCAAGACTATTTTTACGAAAAGAGGGAGAAATTTATTGGCAAATGTTCATTCTGGCCAGTTGCAGTCAGGCGTATTTATTCTCTATGAACAGTTTTTGAAAATCCACACTTCTATGTTTAAAGAAAAGAAAACGGTCAAATGTATGAATGATACAAAAAGAAAATTACCTTAATAAAACCCAGACTCGTCGGGAGTGAAAATTCTTCAGATGCTTAATATTAATTAAGCATAAACACTGACCTACAATTCTAAATCTATAGATGGAGCACAACAGATGACGTAACATTTGACAACGATTTGAAAACAAAAGATACATCTTATGACAGTACAAACGACGACAAAATCTACGAACATTGACAACCGATAAGCAAGCAGACCTGCAAGGAAAAGACGCGGTGAAACGAACAAAACAGAGAAAACCCCTTATCTTGAAGTATTTCAGTAACACAGTGTTAGTACGAAGTGGAAATCATTACCTCCAAACAGATGCAGCACTCGTCATGTCCTGAATTTTCTCGGCAAGAATGTCTTCCTTCCAGCCTTTTGTCCAAACAGACGTTACACACATCACAGTGGAAGGAGCGGTCCTTATAAATACTGAACGGAAAATAAGAACATGACTTCGAAGGTAGATACTCAAGCAAAATTCCACATAACTCGCTGAGCAAGTAAGTTTCCGTTCAAAGTGAAAGCCGTAAATGCGTGCGAAATTTTGAATACAACCTAGAAAACTTATATTTCTACGCGCGCATCGAACAGGCGTTTCTCTCCCTTATTCAACAATACTCTCGCCCTAAGGCTAGCGCCAGAATTATCCATTCCTACAACACTTTGAATTAAAGCAAGCCAATCTTTCCATTACTCTTTTTAAAAGCAAAAATATCATCAAACAGAAAACGTGAATTTCGTTCAAATATCGTTCCACCTACCGGCAGATCCCACATTTTGTGCAGTGATATGGATTTTTGTCTGTGCTTGTGAAGTGTTTACATATAGAACAGAAATATGCCGAGAACTTTGTTTTACATCTGGAACAGGTGTGGGCGTCCTGGTTGATCTTAAAAAGAAATCAACCATTAAAAGTGAATCGCATAAAATTTAGATGCAACATCTCTATTTCCACATTTATGAAACATTTATAAAAATGAATGTCATATCTACATACCTCTTGTTGATGGCTACAAACGGAGCACTCAAGAAAGCATCCCTCTCTTGCTTTGGAATTATCATTTGGACAACCAGAGTTGTTATGGCAACGATGACAAGGAAAGAACTCTCCGCAGCATGGGAACTTGACACGACAGAGCCGCTGATAATGTTCACACAGCCATTGTTGACCCTCAGCACCAGCCGTGTTTTGCGAAGGTGTCTCTCCTCCATCGCTCTTCGGGTTACTAGCTTCTTCTGTGTCATTCCTACAATCCGTTTGTCTTGCTTCCCTTGCCTCCCTCTCTCTTCTTTCACCTGCTATTTGCTCTTTCCTGGCCCGCTCTTCTTTTTTTCTTCGCTCTTTTTCCTTCATCGCCTTTTCTTTTACTTCCCTTTCTTTCAAGGTTTTTTCGACAAAGAAACAAGTTTCGGCCACTCTTCGCTCCAGGTCAGCGAGGGAATCATCATGTGAGTGTGTCGAATTATCGGTCAAGACACCCTGTGCCCCTTGGTTATCAGTGTCCTGATCTGCAAGTGTCCTTGTTTCCCACGTCAGATTTCTGTTCTTGGCTCCCTGTGGGAGGGCAGAGATTTCCATTTCAGGAAGCACAAGACCTTTTGTAATTGAGGAGGTATTAGATACACATGGTGGATTTCCATTCATCACTTTAAAAAAACAGTTTCTCTCCCGTTGTACTTCAGGACCGGTACATTGATTCTTGACTATTCTCTGGTGAGGTGAAAGGGTTGTTTGCGCCAACAGCGTGTCATCATTGACCACAGCATACGGAGGTACTACTACAATCCCCGGGTCTTCACTGGAAAGGGTTTGGACTTGCTCAGCTCCATTGCAGGGAAGAGAAAGAAGAGGACGCGCAGGCACTGGAAGATCACAAACTGTAAGATCGGAACCGAAGGAGCCATAAGGGTTTGGACCTTGTACGTTAGCAAATACCTTTGAATTTTCAAAATGAAACGGTAGGGCTTGAGAGGGATTAAGACCTTGATAGCCTTGCTCATTTGTGAAACAAGACGACCTTTGCTGCCTTGAGAACGTGTTGGAAGACCCTCCACTGGCGTTTTCCGCTGTATTGCACATGTTATCGATAGGAGTGGTGATGCTACTGTCATCTGTGTGACGAGCAAGGAAGCAAGGCTTTATACCAAAGAAATGTGGTTCCTTTTCATCTATGGTATTTCGCAGATCACCTCCTCCTGGTCGCACCTTCTCAGGCTTTGCATCTTTGTCGTCCCAGTAAGAAACTGATTCGAGTTTCTTGTAGCTTAGGCCCCTGTCAGAGAAGGATGGACTTTTTCCTCCACCCTTCAAGCCTAGAAATGTCCCAGGCCTTGCGTTGTGACTTCTTCCTGATAGATCCCCTTTGTTCTTGTTCTTCCTCTCTTGAGAAACCTTTAGCGACCTTGAATCGACTTTACTTTCTTTATTTCGTCGGTTTTCATCCGGGGCATCATTACACCGTGTGGTTGTGGATGGATGACGACTTTGGATTTTCGTTTTATCAGGCGCGGCGTTTTTGACTAAACCATCAACTTCATCATCCACACAATGTCTTAGCCAATCATCAGTGTGAATACGCTTCTCAAGGCGTTTATTACTCTCACTTAATTTACCACCCGTCTGAACTTTCAAATTTAATGGTGGTACGGGTGGTGGTTGATTTGTTTGCTCTTTCTCTATGTCATTGCTACTGGGATAAGCCATGCTAAAGCTCTCTTCCTCTGAATCTGCAAATTTTGGAACTTCTCTTTCGCTTTCCTTCAATTCTGAGGCACACAAAGACACAGAATGCACCGATGATTTACCTTTCCCTGCTGGTTCTGACCTTGCCCTTCTGAAGACCTCATCAATACTTTCTTCAGCGGAGAATGACGATGACGATGACGATGATGATGACGATGACGATGAGGGTAATGATGATGACATACTTACTTCACTAGATGATGACGTGGGCTCCACCAGATTTTTAGACTCATCAGAGTCGCTGAGATCTGTTTGGGTGCTAAGATCAGATGTTGAAGGAATACTCAAGGAATCTGTTTGTGTCCATGATTCCTTCAGGAACGATTGTCTGAGAACCAAGGTTGGAAGAGTAGAAATACGGCCTGGACGTTCGGCTTTATGCTGCAGTTCCTGCGTCTGGCGTCCCTAAGAACAGAACGACTTAAAAAATTATAACATAGCCAAACATTAACTTCTGATCCTACTAGGGGGATTTCAGGCAAAGAAAAGCTGTTTCTTCGTTTAAAAGAAAAAATGTTTAGATTTCTTCGATGCAATACATGCATTCCTGAGATTAGCTGATAAAGCGGTAAGAAACATTCCTACTCTGACCTTGTCATTATTGTGATTTTTTTTACATTGGTAAGCAGCTGGAGTTTACATTTAGTGAATGAACCAACACATGACAAGAGTTCCTCACCATGGTTGAAAACAAGTTTTATGCCTACAGTGATAAATATAACGTTCAAAACACTTACTCTCATAGAAACATCCCTTGCGTTTCCAGGCTGATTGGACGCAATACACCAGGACCTATCACTTTGTGTCTCGAAAAGAATTCCAAAATCACGAGCACATGTTTTCATATTGTCAGCGATGACCATCTCAATAAGAGAGCAATTGCACGGTGGAACTTCCTCTTGGACGATCTCAAATTTTGTTCGGCTTTGAAAAAAGTGAATGAACTGGGTTCTCACTTTAATGGTGTCTTCATGGCGCTGCATTACGATTTTCCCAATGGGTGGACCTTGGATTTCCAACACAAGCTTGCTATCTTCGACCATTACGTTCACAACATCACCAAGCTCTTCCTCATTGGTTAAAATTTGCTTTAAAAGCTTTCCGAATAAAAACTCCGCAACCACTTTGTCCTGCAAGATAAATGCTAGGCTTCCTTTACAAGTGTTCTCTGTCATGACGAGAACCGGAGATTGCGTTTCAAATTCTGAACCATCCCTAGCTGCTGATATTAAGAGTGGCAAAAGGGATAAACCACCAGAAATCTCCGAAAGAGAGGTCTTCGAAGAGTCTAGGAGTTCCAATTCTATAAAATATTGTGTTGCTAACTCTATATTCTGATGACATAAAGTCAAATGGGGCAGACTGTCTTCTACTGCGTTCACACTACACACATTTGTGTGATTCAGTGTTGAAACATCAATTCCACGAATTATTGGACACTCCACAAGAAATCTACAAAATCCTTTCCATTGATTATTATCAGATTTGAGCACCAGAGTTTTAAAAATTTTCGTCGATGCCCTTTCTTCCAACTTGTCATCTTTATGTGGAGATTTTGCAATCTCCTTGCTTTGAAAGTTACCGGGAGCATCTACATTTTTTTTGTCAGAGATTTTTCGATTGCCAAGAGGCGTCAAAAAAATCAGGTCATGCATAAATGGTCTGCCAACATATTGTATGTTTGAACTGAAAAACGCAAACCGAATCTCTTCACCGAGCAATACATGAGTTGCCTGCGTAGACTGTTGGTTTGACAGAGAAGAAAACAAACTATGCACAGCGTCTATCATCTCCCACATTTCCACTTCTACAAACGACTGAAGCATTACTGCTAAAGCAATCATCAAGTTTGTATTTTCTTCGAAAAATATAGTTTTGCTTTCCGGTTTATCAACTCGCTTCGCTTTTCCCTCGATGAAGTTCTTTAACCGTTCGAATTCAGTTTTTAACCTCTCTTGAACTTCCGGGAAGGTTTGGCTCGTCTTAGATTTTAGATGACACACAGCAAAAATCACTTTCAGTAAAATGACTTCAGAGCAATCAGAATGACCATAAAAGATACTTGCATATGTACACGAGAGAAACAGGAAAGTGGTACTTTGTTCCACTCCAAGGTTAAACAAAGAAAGACCAACTTTCAACAAGTTGAAGCTTAGCTTTGCACATAAGTCCTTGGCAAACAGCTGGGAGACGGAGGAATCCACACAATCCTCTCTTTGTGAAAGTATTACTGAACAATCACAGAGAGCGCTCGGTTGGTGATGGTTGAGAACCTTGGTTATTTCCACACCAAACTCAGAAATCAGACTTTCAAACTTTAATTTTTCTTTGTTATCTGTATCAGGAGATGGTGTCCTTCCACCTCCTTGAAACAATTCAATGACTTTTGGCTTCAGCTGACGCTCAAATGAGACCTGGAAAATCTCCTCTACATTTTTCAGAACTCTCTGACTGTAAAATAAAGATTTTTCTTCAAATCCACCGAACGACTCCAGCCTTCCAAGACTTGCATTGCATTTGAGTACATCGGGGTGAATAGCACCAAAAGCTTTGGTGAAAATCTCTAATGCATCCGTAAAACATTGCCTGGAGCGTGCAGTGTTTCCCAAATGAAGGAAAACAAGTCCTTGCTTGAACAGAATAGAAGCAAAAGTTGGGTGATCCGCACCACATCTTTCACGAACAACTGGTGCAAGATAGGAAAAAAAGCTACAGACAAGGTCAAGATTACCTTGATAAAGATGAATGTCGGACACAGTCTCCACAATTGTGATTAAGAAATCTAAGGAAAAGTTTGAACTAACATCAACAAGTTCCTTCAGCCCTAGCAAGGTAGAAATCTTAGTATCAATAGCTGTTGTGGTCCCTCTAGAGGCTTGTAGCATCAAACAAACTAAACGTATTTTCAACAAAATGCAGGTTAACAGACCCTTAATTTGGCGTAATTCTGTTTCACAAAAGGTTTTTAAGTTCTCAAATTCGTCCAAAGCTTTTCTAAGATTTCTGTTACTCAAAGAGGTAAGCGCTTCATTGTAATCAAAAATCGCATTGATTCTTGGTTGTATGGCAAATTGGCCTATACTAGAAAGGAGATCATTTTGTAATTGCCTATCAGCTACGTGGCTCCTCTGAGCCTGATGCACTAGTCGTAGGTTGTTAACTGTTGTTAAAATTTTTTCCTCAATAGCGACATGTACAGAAGGTTTTCCATTTTTGGAAAATATTTCAAGAGCGCTTTGAAGAATTGCTTTTGCCTTTTGGAAACTTCCATTAATTATATACACGCAACCTAAGTTATTAAGGGCAACTCCGTGGCTAACTTCTAATTCTTCGTCGTCGGCTCGCTCAATGTGCTCTTTCTGCTGCTCAAGTGCATTCTTGGCTATATCAACACAAGTCATATTCAATGCAACAGCACCAACTGTGTTGGCAAGGCGGACATAGAAGCTAGGAGACTTCTGGGGCAACAAGACTGCTCCAGTTCGAAAACTCCACGCCACATTCTCTACCGATATCTCCTCCGCATTGTTTACTATTTCTCTTTCCTCTAAACTGGGATTTAAGAAGTCAAGTGGCGTCAACTTTAGGAAATAGTGGTGAGTTTTTTGTAATGATTCTTTCGCTTGAGCTAAGTTCCCCTTTCGCAGATAATTAACTGTCGATATAAGGAATTTAATAACCGAACATCTGTAGCCGATTCTGTCAGGGGTATCCATTTTCCTTGTTTCTAGCACAGAGAAAAAACATTAGGAGTAAACATTTGAAAATAAAATTGTAGTGATGGTCATACTGAGGGTTATGGGCTTATCTAAAGAGTACTTTGCTCCATGATAATTACTATATTCTCATTTAAAACACTCAGATTAAAAAGAAAATTTGAAGTAAACCGATCCACACTTGTGGATCCACACCCGTGGCCTATAATTAAGTTATCTCCCACGTTAGATGAGAAAGACACGAAGGCCTGAAGGAAAAATACTGACCATCCTCTAAAAGCCCGGACATCTGTATATGTTTACTTGAGAGTTACAGGAGACAAAACTCTGGTTTGACGAGGAAACAAAGGGGCAAGTTTCGTTCGCGCTCGTCCCTGATTAGACTCCTATTCCTCGGTTGCTTCATAGCACAGTGGAAATGAAACGGATATAGATGTCTGAGCAATCTTATTATTCTTATGTCAGCCCATGTCACAAAACACTCCTGAGTTTGTTTACGTTTCAATCATTTGACAGGAAAAAACTCAAAAAAACTAGAAACCAAGGGAAAAAACTTAAGCTCCTCTTGTTCGGGAAAGGAAGAGAGCCCCTCCTACTATACTGTTTAAAAAGCTTTCCTTGCAGATTCTTTCTTAGATGAATACCATTACACAATTTACTAAGTCAACGGGTTACGATGGGCAATAGATCGTGAAAACTTATGACGCAAATCGATCAATTTATAATTTCATATGACTTCGTGATTGATCTTTCAACAAAGCACGACTCAAGCATGAGAGTTAAGTTACCAAACCACAAAAGAGAAGCTAGTCAATCGCTTGTGAAACCCCCAAGCTGAAATTGCCCGTAACATGGTTTAATAAAGCAATCATTGAAACAGACGTGGAATCATTAGTCTGATAGAATTAATTTTTCAAACACAATAGAAAGTGTCTGTTACAAATATTCAAAGTTTATTACCTCCTCCGTTCGTTTTCCCGGAATGCATTAGCAGCTTCTGGTGCAGTAACCCCTCCTAGCAAATAAAGATCGCAAAATACAAATTTTGTTAACTAGTGTGCAAGACATACTCCTAAACTGAGGTTAAGTTGGCGCCAAATCTGTTACAATATTTTCATGTGTTTGAAAAGATAACGATGAAATTTCACTGAATGCATTGCAGTGGCGGATCCAGGGGGAGGGTCCGGGGGATCCGAACTCCCCCTATCAAACCTGACGCTTACAACTTTGAGACAGGATCGTATATCACTTTTAACTGGCTGATTGTTTTAATGAATCCAAATAAACGGTAAGCAGCCAAGGAATTATAACGTGCAACCGCGACTGGTGGGAGGGGGTGTGGGGGAGAATTAATTTGCCTCAAAGAGTCCAACAGTCCTTTCTGAACCAAAGTTTGGACTCCCCAATCAAACATTCCTGGATCCGCCTCTGCATTGTAATATTACACAAGCTACGAAGCTGAAATACAAAGTCTTAGATTATTGATATCTACTATAGAGAAATCATCAGCTAGGTAAAAGCGGCCATTGTATAACGAGCCGGGTCGGAATGGCGGACCTCTAATACATTGTACTTCTGTTTTCTTACAGGTAACGAGTTCCCGCCAAAATTGAATGTCTTACGTGAATAGTTTAAATATCCCGCTGACCTGCCAACTCTGACTGTGGATGCTAATTACAAGATGGGCATTTGTGGTTGCAGTAAGCTGGAGCCCTATTCTGAAAGCAATTCTGTACCCTCCGAAAAAAAATGGAGTTGTCGCAGTATTTGCAATAGCATCTGATTGAATTGATAACTAGAGGAAAATAAGCTACGCGAAAGAGACCGAACCCTGTTTTCCATTCTGGGAAAGATTCCTAAACGGGTCCGCAAAGTTGTTTCATGATCTCTACCCCGTACAAGTAATTAGTCAATATAAACTTGAACTTGAAAGAAAAGATGTCAAAATCGATCAAGGAATCAACACTCGCACTGATTCGATTGGGTTTGATGTTATCCTGTTAAGCTAGGTCATCTGAAGCGATGTGCTCTGTGAACTGCTTAGGCCTGCTTTGTCATCACCGTTCGTCGAATTTGCATCAGTGCGGATAGGCCCAGCCAGAAAGAGGATTAATTCATGAAGAACAAATTTACCAGAAGATGAATAAAAACGAATTGGTAAATGTTCGCATTTTGGCTACAAAAATACTAGAGAATTGCAAACTAATCTAGAAGTTCCGAGAATGTGCGGAAGGTACTTGATAGAACCGGAAATGGATTCATCCATTCGCTCAGACTAGTCAAATGCTTAAAATCTTCCGCCAATTGTTGACATTCCTGTATCACTACGTTGGAATCTATAATACCGCAGTTCAAAATATATGAACTTCATATATTCATTGTACCAAGGTATATTTCTGTTACAAATGCAAATTTTCTCTTTTTCTGTTATTTGGTGGCTGAAAACATCTCTGCAAAATTCTGAGGGTAGTAACCAAATTCGGCCTCTAGGTTAGTCGTTAGCCATCATTGTTACGGGAGCAGATTGTCGGGGTAAACGCGTTCACGACATGAGTAAGCTCGTTACGTGACAAGAGGGAATTCACTGAAGGTGTCTGAAATATATGGTCTCGTGTTCCGTCCTCCGCAGAGTTCGAAGGTTATTTACGGTTAGCCTCTAGACAATCTCTGATTGTTTGCATTCAGGTTCTCAACAAAAGCGCCCAACATCTTAAAAACCCATATTTGTCTCGAACACCTAAAATAAATTTATGACGATAACGAAAGGAAATGATCAACTTTCCCGAAAAATTCGCCGGATGCTTTTGGTTGGGAAACCACAAGTCCCTCTTGAAGTGATATATTCATTATCCATGTCAGTTTAAAAATGCTTTGTAAGCGTCTGTTTATTTCGTTCTCGTTTGTTGCGCTTAACTTGGTTTTCGAGATTCTTCTCTGTGGTGACTTCAAATTCTCCAAACAAAGAGCCTTCAGTTCTGGCAGGAATCGTTCACATATCCCAACTTAACTTGTTTTCCTAGTACTAGTTCACTTTTATGTTCAGTGAATCGAGAGAACACTGAAAGGCCTCGTGGTTTAAAAAAACAAAGTAGGGAATGAAACACGAAATCGAAAGTTTTTCGGAAATTGTTACCAAAGTAATTCTAATCGGCACTGCGGCACTCTTCTATTTCCTCGTCCCAATGTCGCTTTTAGCACTCCGGTTTTCTGGACCAACGCAGAATACGAAGTTAGCTAGACAGACGCGGTAGTATTGTCTACGATCAATGTCGACATGTAATTGTTCGGAGCGTAATACACAGTTCGATCGAGAGGTAGCAATGTTCGATTAGAACGATAAACCAATTGGTATACCTCTTGTATTGTTTACTGCGATCATGTGATTGGACAACTTTTCTGCGTAAGAAATAGTCACATCGAAGATGATGCAGGTCGGGGCCTGTTTGGGTAAATGTTGACAACAGTCATAAAGTCACTGATATTCCAGAAATTTCTCTTAGCTCACCTATCTATTACTTGACAAGTTCCACTTCCTCATCCAGTTTAGATGGGTTTTAGCAGTGAAAAAGGTAAAAATAATATACCACGGAATAGGGAAGAAACATCAGCAAAGTTTTTCTTGTATAGTTCTTTTAGGCGCACGGAAGCTGTACATGACAACCAATGATTCAAATTCATTACATTCATACGTGGTTGTCCCCATACAAACGGGGAAGTCCCGCGGAAAAAGACTTGCAGGAAGTGGATGAATAAGCCTATCTCTTAAAGTATTCTGAAACAATTCCTTTTGTTCTTATGGTCTGTAATCCATCTAACCTCGAACTGATCCAGCAAGAAAATTTAAATTGAAGACACGAACGACTAATATTTAGATTTAGCTAAGCCTAAAAGCGGAGCTCCCAATACGAAGTGAAAATTTTGCAGTAAAATTTCTTTACATATATTGAAAATTTTTAGCCAAAAATTCATTCAGTATAGATTAAACCCATTAACACTTACGTGTAAAGCGTGCCTGTGAAAAGTCAAAATTTTGAAGAAACCAAGAAAGCAAACGCAATGCGCAGTAAATTTTTAAAAAATCATCTTTTCCGAAAAACAAGCTCAAAAGAATGAAGACTAATTAATTTATTTCCGATGAAGAAAGCGATAGGTCCAAGCTACGTTTTAACTAAATTTCAAGATGAAAGTTAAAAATCGCTAAATATTTTCGCATGTGTGCAAATAGGCATGTGTAACATATTTCAAAATGGAATATGCGAATATGTCCGTGAGTGAAGAGATCTCAAGTTCAATGGAATGGGAAGCAAGACTAAAATGGCCAAGAAATATTTCGGGACGACAGATTTATTCAAAACAGTTTTTTATTTGCTATTATAAGCGAAAAATGTACGAATTTCTTACGCGTACAATGCCCACGCGGTAAAATTCATCGTTGTTTACTTGCCTTCAAGGTCAGAAATTGTGCAGCGTTATATTGAAAATTCTGAAAAAACTTCGATTTGACGCAAAATCTTCTATCAAACAATACTTTTTCAACATATTGTTACTCGAACATAATATTTACCTGGCCATCGAATCGTCAAATTGTCGCTAGGCCCTGCTTGAAGTCGGAAAGTTCGGTTTTCGCTTTACGTCCATAATTCGCATCGTCTTAGAGAATCGTAGTGTCGTTGACTCGAGAGCTTATTCTGTCACCTTTAAGACCTTGAAATCCATTCCTTTCCAAGAAGAGTATTCTATAGTATTGTTACTTTACATTCTGAGTTCCACAAGGTCTAACTCGATCGCAAATGAACGAAAACTCCGACCTGAAAATTTTTGAGGGTCGACCGCGCGGACGCCATATTTTCAAATTTGATCATACAGTATTTTCGTGATAGCATACATGACAGAGGGCACGTACGTACGTACGTACGCTCAGTCAGTCACTTGACAACCAAACGAAAATAGGTTCACCATATTCCATGGGAATGGGGCTCTGCTCGCGCGTGGGAGCCCTGCTATAAACCCGCTTAACTTGATTTCTCGTTCAAATTGTTTTGACGCCTCATTCGTCACGGTGATACTTCGCACTCAACCTCGCATTCAACGGTGCGAGGTTGAGTGCGGCCATAGTCCCCTCTACTAACTATGGTGCGGCCGACAGTCGAAAAGTTGAAAGAGTTTTCAAAGAACATGAGTCTACATGTCCGTGGCAAAAACTTTTTCCCGCTATAACCCCTAAACTTGTCGAGGATCGCGAACTAAGTGAATCTTTGAAAAATCTTCCCGTACTTACGTATTCTAAATAGCTCTCGAGATAAGTTTTATACTTAGAAAACTTCATAGTAATGTGTACATCCGTTTCCTGAAGTCCACTGTTCTCAGAAAGGAAAACGGAAATGGGCTTTTTATGGAGCGGCCCTAGCAAACAATATTTCTGTTACATTCCAAGTTCGTTCATTCCAAACCAGTTGATGAAAGTTCTTCATTAGTATAGTTAACTATTCACGGTTTGCAGTTAAGACAGCCTGCAATAATAGTTCTGTTATAATTGCAAGTTTCCATTAGAAGAATAAATGATCCTCAATGTTATGATACAAGAATGCGTACTTGAGATTTTCGTTCTTTGAATGTCTGTACATTAAGCTTATCATGTTTGATTAAATCAGTAATAGCCCAAGGTGTTCCAGTCCGGTTTCTGAGGTCTTGCATAATTCCTAACTCTTTTTCTAATTTGCTCAGTGTAAGAAGATGAGCTGATTCAGTCAATTTCCGGACTGGAAATTTTCCCGAATGAATACTAAACTGGAGAAGGAACTTGAAAGGTCACACATTTTGTTCATCACGGTAACCGAGCTTAATTTTTCCTTACAGAACAATTTTTTCAAGGCGAAAATAAAACGACTGAAATCACAATTAGATATCCCGATAAAATCATAAACAGGGCACGAAACTTGGTTTAGAATGATGTATAAAGAGAACCTTTTCGTACTATATTTGAAACGGTTTGTCTGGCTGTCTGCCGGATCGTGATAATCCATAGAATTAGCCGCATTGATTTACAGTTCGCAGAAACTAGCCGGGGGGGTACTACCTTATAAGGGCTTAATAGGGACGTGAAGCCAGGGTATGTTTTTCGAGATTTCTGTCTTAAACAGGGTAAGGAATTTATCATTTTTTGTCTTAAACAGGATTTATCGATTTATAAATTTTTGTCTTAAACAGGATATCTTTTCTCGGAAGATAAACAGCAAAATTTTTACAAGCTCTAATTTTAATTAAAATTGAATTCCGTTGATTTTGGCATTGATACCAGGCACATTAAATGTCTTAAACAGGGTATCAAAAATCGGAATTTTGTCTTAAACAAGGTAGGAAAATCAGCGATATTTGTCTTAAACGGGGTCAGGGTATGAGGGGCCGCGCCGCACCTCCCCACCAAGGAATATATCGAGTACCCCCCGGGGAAACTAGCCAGAGTTGCATGCCAGACGGAGGTAGTCTTCTCACCAGCCATGACCGAGGACTGTTAAGCACTGATTGTACCTGCCACACGATATCAAGATCCTGGCTGAAAATTTATCTTCTAAATCTAGTTTGCATGCTACCGCGTCTACAGTAATTATGTAACCCTAGAGAAGCGGAATTTTGTATCGTAAGATCCGAGTAAATCATGCTTACCCGAAGACGAAAATCTGCTCAAATACATTAGTACCCAAAATAATTGTGCAACTTAGTTAGGCCACAGATTACATACCTTATTAAAACACTTTCTTGTTACTGCACATATGCTGGAAATCCGGATCTCGTCACTACCGACGTTCTTGGGTTGGAAGAATAATCAGTGCAACCGATCATGCAATTTTCGTTTTTTCACCCTTGGAAGCGAATTCCAAAACCTGCAGTCCTGCGGTCAAAGTACAAAGACTGTATATCAAAGCTAACATTTGCAGAAATTCTCGACATATTTCGCACCGGCTGTTTGTCAGATAATGGGCAACACGATCGTATGAAAGAAAAGGGTTAATTACAAACCAAAACGACAAAGCTCAAAAATCATTCTACCATTTTGAGTCTCTTATATCTCCACTTGCCATGGCTTGATGATCAAATCGTTTTCCTAACTTATATGATAGCAGGTATTGTGTTCACTAAGCAACCTTGTAGACAAATAGTGCAAAGACAAAGAGGTTTCCATAACATAAGTTTGGTGACTGTAGAAAATAGAATCAGCGCGAACCAAAGCGAAATGACTCGCTAACAAGTTCTAAGAAAGGATAAATTTTAAGTTTTGGATTTAACTGGTCATGGATAATGAAGCTACAAAAGCTTTCTAATTAGATTTTCCTTTCTTCTGTTGAATATTTCAGATTCTTTCTTCCATCCGGTCTGTGTCGTTTTCTGTGTTATTAAACACAACTCAATTAATGTCTTACCAAAATATAATAAATGAGCATGGCCTATCAAAACTTTAACTTGTAGACGTAACCATTCGATTATTTCTTTCATCTTCGGAATGATCGGTTTGTACCTAACCCATATAATACAACATGAAGAAACATCTTTAAAGTTTATTAATCCCCGATTGAAGTTCAACAGCCAACGAGGAGCACGCTATTTACGGACCAAAGATGATGGCATGATGCAATTCTAACAGCCGAGAAAGCCCTGGGGACGTGACTGCGGGACGGCTGTACACAGCTATTGCTCGAAATCGATCGATATTTCCACGTGCACTTTACATGATATCATCACAAGCACCCCGGATATAAAAACGCAATCGACTGCGCATGTCTCCAATCATCCATCCGACAAATTTTGGCTTTTTCTCACTATTGCAAAGAATAGGCTGCTGCCTCGCTAGGGCTAGCCAGCAATAATTCTTTGTTTCCTCTGCCGCCAGGAAGTGAAACAAAGCAGACAATTTCGAAATAGAAATCCATGTCCTAAATTGGAAAACTTGAGCTTAAAATAACTCATGTTTAGGTTCATGTTCGGTCTAAGTCTGTTTATGATGCGTTCATGGGTGACGAATGACAGATAAAACGAAGAAGTCAAAACAAACGACTGTTGTAGAGTAATTGTTACAAAGAGAAGAAAAAATTGGCTGGTTTTTAGAACGAGATAAACCCCAACATTCTCATTGGTTTAAGTTTGCTTTCCCAGTTATGTAAAGCAGTGCTGCTACAGAACTTCGACTTTCTGAAGCTGCGCACTTGAGGGCTTGGGACATTCGACGCAAAGAAAGGAATGAACCACATACTTTCGAGTGGAAATGTACTTCTCTGTGGATGCTTCTCTAATTTGCTTCCATTTTTCGCAAATAATGCACGCAAAGAGTGGAATAGATGGATTACTGCAACATAAAACTACGCCCATCAAGTGAAGCAGGCCTAAAACAAGTGGATCTTAAATAAGTGGCACAACTGATACTTCTTACATACAAATTTGGTTCACAGATTCGTCTGAGATTGGTCGTCATACATTTTAACGACTTTTTGTTCTAGGAAAAGGTCGCATCCTTTTGAATTACTGTCTCCCTTTTAACAAACAATTTCATGAGAAACTAGATGACAAGCTCGCCTAAACTCTCGGTTGAAACCGTTGGGAAACTTTTGAAATTTAAACAATCTCTCCTCTTTACATGCACAGGTAACAGACT